ATAAGTTGGAATGGCACCTATGAAAAGTTTATATTTGAAATCGCAATATTGACAAAGAGCTGTTTTTCGACGCCAAAGGTAGACACAGGTACATAATATAGTCGTAAACAATACAGAGCAGTGTTAAGGCAGACGGGATTCGAACCCAACTCTTTACATAGAGCGTACATGTCTGAGGCCTGTAGGCCGTAGCGCTACAAGCCGAGGGCTTCGTCGCTATTTAAAAAGAAAACAAACAATAAAAAAACAGTTCACGCTTACACCTACCCGTGTTTATGTGTGTGTATGTGCGTGTGTTTGCGTGCGTACTTTCTGTTGTGTGTAATATCGTGCGTGTAACTGTGTATGTGTGTGCGCGTGTGTATTTCATGCAGTATTTTTAACACCCTGTTTAAAATGATGAGCCTTTAACATTAAAACGTCGATATTCAAACAGTCAATACATTTCCAGCCGGCTGTCACCGTCTGATCCTCAATTATTGGACATTAATGCTCTCTGCTTGTGAAGTTTAAATTAACGCGCACCACATCCAACCACGAAATTTGATCCACACACCACATGACCGCTACTATATACTTAACACATTAACCCCACCCCCTCCCCCAACCCCCACCACCACTTTACTTACTCGTAAATTTAAAAATTGATTTTTCAAACAGACACGGCACAAGTAAAACATAAAAAGATAGTGACAGCGATTTATCAGGTTAGCCATTGACCAGAGTTATCTATCAGAGCTAAAAATATAAACAATTTGTAAACATTAAGGGAAATAATCCACACAAACCCATGAACGATAACTCTTAAACAGTGTTAAGAATTGCTACTAAATTGTGCTGTACTTGTTTTTTGAGGATTTGATCAGTCGCAAGCCAGGGTAAGTTGAACGTAGTGTAATTTTAGTTAAGATGTTGAGTTATTTATTTAATAGGAATAATTTGATTGTTAATTATTCAGCAAAATGTATTTGGCGCCCATTGAAGTTTTTAAATATGATTGTTTATTTTTAACCAAAGTCGATATATAATTTTCGATTAATTTTTTGCATTTTGAGAGCACCAATTATTAAACTGGATTATCATGTACTTCTGTAAAATCCCTCGTATTCATTTGATGTTTGACATTTTGTAAAATTTGTTGATGCGATGTATGTGTATTAAATGGCAAATACAAGTTTTAAAGTTTAAAAAATACTTGATCATTAAGAAGTCTTAGATGATTAAAAACAATACTTGTATGTCCTTACTTTGATACCAAGTTCAATCATCAAAGTAAATAGCTTACAAAAAATGCTTTTAAAAATGCGTAGGTTTTGAAATGGCTACAATGCTAAATTTCTTCGTAATAGTATTTCTTTTCTGTTTGACATGAGTTCAGACGTAAATCACAACATTAATCGTCTTCTGTACTTCGTCCCCTAGTACACACAGTACACACTAAATAGGCGGGGCTTTTATGGCTGTCATCTCGTTAGAGTTAAAATTTTCATGAGCTTTTCTTCAATCTGGGAGCATATTCAGAGTTTCTTCCAGGCATCTCTTCCCCCCCTCCCCGAAGAAAGTCTACCGCCCCCCTCCCCCAAAGAATTTATATAGGAAATATATACTTTTGACAGGGTCCGCCCCCCGGAAATTTTTGTCCGCCCCCCCCCCCCCCCTAAAATTTGTTCAAGTGCACCCCCGGAGAAAAAAAAGTCTGGAAGAAACACTGAACATATTTCATGCTAAATCATCATGGGGCAGTTCATCTTCTATGCCTAAACCTACGTTTTAGCGGCTAACATTAATTCATTTATAGAGAATGAAAAAAGTAATTTTAAAGATAATACTAATTTTAAAAAAATTATGTTTAAAACGAGCTCGGAATGTAAATGAGAATGAGGCTAGATCTTTTATGGCGGGTGTCGTTACCAAGGCTCTGGTTAAAAGTTCACTAGTAAATTATTAAGTGACACCTAACCAGCCAGATGATGTATTTTTGAATCTGTTATTGCATGTAAAATTTCTGTTTGTATTTTTTATTTAACATTATTTTTGAAGCATAGTGTATGGGGCTAGTAGGGGTATGATTCATTAGTTATAAAGTTCATTAAAATCACTTTAGTTGTTGTTTTTTAAAGCCAGGTTTTAAAAAGTTTAGAACGCCCGGATTAGTGAGTTGTGTTCAGTCCCGTGTTGTTGTATTATTTCCCCCTTAGGTAGAATGTGGGGAAAGCAAAAGAACAAAAGAACGGAAGTTTGGGGGGATGGGGGGGGGGGGGGGGGTCGGTTAATGTTAGAGGCTAGAAAACATTGAAAGTCGCATAGGTTTGAATAAAATAGCAAAATACCCGAGTACAGTTTTATAGTTTGACCTCTCTAATCATCTAATTTCGATTTCAACATACTCCCCTCTTTGTCTGATTGAAACTTTAACGAGTGTAACATTTCCACAACCAACATTTTTTTCAGATCTGATATACTGTCTGGGAGGTTTTGATTAAAGATTTTTTTTTTTAAAAAAACAATAATCTGTCAGAATGTAGATAACTTTAAAAAATAATTTACCATAGGTTAATTCGACACTGCGTGATATTGTAAATTTTAATCAGATACGAATATTTAAAAAAAACAATAGAAAAATTGTTAATTCGTGTATTAAAAAATTGTAAAAGAATGTTATTGTAAATAATTGCCTATCACGTAACGAATAGAAATTATCTTTATATCAGTTAAATACCTTGATTAAGGTTATCTCACTTTAATTTTACAATGATCCTCTCATTACGATCTAGGTCTACTCTACAGTCGTGTACAAAACATCCTCTTCCATAAACACACCTGCTGACGTAGAAAATGAGGTAAGTAGTCATATTAGTAATTAATTAGCCAATAACAGGTGTTGTGTGAGTGGAATGTTAAACCAACCAGCTGTGACTAATACAGGGCATACAACCTAACCTGTCAAAACTATACACCACATGTTGGGACTTTCTAATATATATGTATATATATATATATATATATATATATATATATATATATATATATATATATATATATATATATATATATGTATATATATATATATGTATATATATATATATATATATATATATATATATATATATATATATATATATATATATATATATATATATAGGCCTATATTTATTTATTTATTTTTAATCAGACTACCAGACTGATAAGGTCAACTCAGATCTATTATTGAATTAATTAAACTTTATGTAGGGTGTCGCCTAATTTTTTTTAAACTTCATTATTGTTCAAGATGGCTTAAACAATTAAAAACTACATTTATTTACCTTTAATTTCATATCAATTTTAATTATCAAAATCGGTAGTCTAGAAAATTATTTGTGAAAAAAACGCCGTTGTTTTCAAATAGCTACGATGTTGTGACTGATGCTCAGTGATGTGGTGTATTAGTTTTTAAGGAGTGTTGTGGTGACGGGATTGACCGGTTATGTTTTTAAGGAGTGTTGTGGTGACGGGATTGACCGGTTATCCCCGTTCAGCAGAAATGTGTCGTCTGCTAGATTTGTTCCCATTTAAATTCATGGCTAGCAAAATGGGCGGGCACAGTTTCCTGTTGTCTAGATCAAGTTAGTTTTTAAAGGTTTTGTTTTTATCCTGCATTTTTACTTTCTCGTATATACGAAGTATAGAGAAAGTATTGTAATCGTGCACAAAAATAACATGAAATTTTGACAGTTTTCACCGTTTTACTCCTCAGTCCTTCATCACATCCGGAGTAGGCCCTATAGAGGACTTATTTTAATCAGGCAAAAATTATAAATACAAATATATGAACGTTTTGGCGTTTTATGCGTTATCGAGTCGTAAAAACTGGACTTTGCAATTCTGTCCGTATGTCTGTGTGTCCGTGTGCCTGTGTGTGTGTAAACACGATAACTTGAGTACCGTTATAGCTAGGTTGATGAAATTTTATATATAAGTAATTTATCGAAATCGTAGATCCTGATCAACTTTTGAGCGATTTCCGATAACCGGAAGTGGTAATTTTTCTACTTTGAATTTTTCAAAAACCTATAACTTGCGTACTATTTTAGATAGATAAATAAAATTTCACACGTAAGTAAAATATCTAATTCTCTACCTTCTGTCAAATTTTGAGTAATTTCCGTTGACCGGAAAAACTAATTTACGCTAACTCCGATTTCTCAAAAAACGCATGTAAATTTATAAAGTACTAATAATATCCCGCACTTTTATACACATTTTATTAGGCGTTTACTTGGTCTGGGACGGAGTGGTCTAGCGGTAGACAGCTGGACTGCTAACCCGTTAGTCTCGAGTTCGAATCCGAGTTCAAGTCAACTCTGATGGGTACCTAACTCCTGTTAGGGAAAGCAAAGGCGGCTGGGCATAGTGCTGACCACACTATCTCTTCATATGCCGAGGTCACAGAAACAAGTGAACTCTAGTTCACTTGCCCCATAGACCGTCAGGTTTGAAAGGGAAACTTTTCATTTGGTGTGCAATTCTTTTTTTTTTTTACGAGATTCTATTCTATTATAAAAAGTTTAAGTAATTAAAAATGGATAACAAATATTGTCTATGTCCTGAGTTACCATCCCTCGTAATTTTATTTTAGAATATTCGAGAAAGTTTAGGGGAGATCACTCCCGGTTTATTTAAAAAGTAATAAAATATTTTGGTAGGACGCAATATATAATTTTCTATAGTTTACAGTTTTTTGAGTAAGTTTACAACTATATTAAATAAAGCAATTCACGTTTTGCTTACTTTTATTATGTTCTGCTCGTTATTCTCAGCGATAAGACAAAAAAAATTACAAATGGCAAGATTGCATAAAACATTAATCTTCCATTGTTAAAATTAGATCGGTATCGTTGAGTAATACGCGAAAATAACGATTATTACACAAATTGTTAAAAAACGGAATCATGGTATCGTCGTTTTCGGCAGCCATAATTACCATGACGACGGTAAAAGAAAGTAGGTCAATCGACAGGCTACTTTATGTGACCCACTTTTTTGTTTATCCGCAGGAACATGTTCCTCAGACCCAGGCAGTTTCGGTTCCTCTATCGTCACGCGCTCCGCGTCCTGAAGATGGCGCTGGTGTTCGGGGCGTGTCTACTGGTTGCCGCCTTCATCCCACCAATCAGAAACGTTGTCGGTTACTTTGTGCTACCAGGGGCGTGGCGTCAGCTAAGCTCAGTGCGGATCATCCAGCTGTACTTCGTGGACCCCCAGTACCCAGTCGAGTCCACTCAGGTCACGTGCGACTCGGTCAAGGTAACTTGGTGTAGGGAAGGTTGAACTGAGCTTGTCGAGCCTAACCATAAAGTTTGGCTTTTGATCAGTGTTTCTTCCAGACTTTTTTCTTCGGGGAGGGGCACTTGAAATTTTCGGGGGGGGGGGGGGGGGGGGTAGACTTTCTTCTGGGGGGGGGGGGCGGACACTGTTAAAAGTTTATATCTTCTATATAAATTATATAAATTTCATTTCGCTCGGGGGGGGGGGGGGGGCGGTAGAATTTGAAGAGATGCCTGGAAGAAACTCTGCTTTTGATTGTTTTGAGTGGAGTTAACTCCAAAAACCAAAAATGCTGCCTTGTTGTTTGTTCTTGGTTGAACAAAGGCTATGGTAACTCACTAACAGGCGGCCTTAAACACACAACCTCAAGGGACATAACCATGTTATATATAATACAAGGGACGTAACCATAACTCACAAGACATAACAGCACAACCAAGACATTTTATACAAGAAAAATAAGTGCGATAAGATATGAAATTCTGTTTGAACTAAGCAGTTGTGTGTTCACTAAGTCTCAATTATTAACCTATATGTCTATTGTATTGTTTCCTGGTACAGGGCATAATTTCTGGAGTAGACTGGGCCAAGATGGTGTCGCAAGTCTCACGTCTGCAGGTGTATGACGAGGAATACTTCAGGGACATCGAGGACAACCTGGACGTGTACGGGACGTCACAGCAGGACCTCACGTACTTAAACAGCAGGTAGTTATCGCAGGACGTGTGTGTGTGGGGGTGGGGGGTGGGGGGGGGGGGGGGTGGATGCGAAAAGTAGTCTCCATTGACAGGCGCCTTTCACCTCATTTTAGACAAGTTTCGTTGGAAATAAACAACAAAAGTTTGTTCACATAGGCGTGGTCGAGTCAGTAAAGCTCATGCTAAACCGAAAAGTCTTGAGTTTGAACCCTCGGGCAGATGAGGCTTGTTAGCTGGGGACATCCTTGTAGTTTGTTCTTGGTTGGACAAGGGCTATAGAAGTAAATCCAAAAAGAAAAGCAGGCTGAAATCGGAGTCAATGACCGCAATGGCGCATAACCAGTTGACACGTATACTTAATTATACTAGAGGGGATCCTTTCCAACACTAAAAATTAAGAACGAAGTAAAAGAAGAAAATCAATTAGATTTTTGGTATTTTGAACACATTTTTTATTTATTTAACCGTAATTAGAGTTTTGTAAGGTTTAAAATGTCGATAGAAACGATTCAACTCTCAGCTTTACATTTATTCTCAACAAAAGTGAAGAAAACTTTTAATTAACTTAATTAACATTTTTTGTATTAATAATAATGTATTTTTATTTACGGATTATACTAAATTATTTGGGTACCGTAAAAAACCATGAAGCGTATAATTTAGACTCTTAAGTATTTAGGTATAAATTTTCAAGCGTTTTTATAACACCAGCTTGATTTACGTGTATGCTGAAGTATAAAAGTAGGCTAGGATGTATTCAAAATAGGCGGACATTAAGACTGATAGGCCTCACAAATTATGACTTCTAGTTTCTAATACAAACAACAATTGAAAGGTTGTAGTTTAAAAATTGTTCATTGACAATAAAAAAAAAAAAGATTTATCCTGAATACCATGAAAGTATATTTTCAAACTCAGTAATTGATCTAATCTGAAGGTTTATCGCGTGAAACTTGCTAATATTTATTCCAAAAGAAACTTATTATTTGACATGGACCCAACTGTTTAGCAGCAATAAACATTTTAATTTTTGTTTTTAAATTAAACAGAAAATGCATTACATATATATTTTAAACTTATATAGTTTCAAAGAGGTTATAATTTACTCATAACTTTAAAATAAAGTAAAAACATAAAAATAAATGTAACATTTTTTAAAAAACAACAATATAATTTCAAATGCTTCAATATTTATTTTAAAAAAAGGTATTTCAAGTTTAAACCCACCATGACGGGAAGGTGGCAAAAAGAAATGAAGCTGACGTTTCTGGTATTCGTCCGCGCGATGGAACTATTTAATCTGACCTACTTCCTGTCTGAAGGCAGCATGCTGGGAGCCTATCGTCATCATGGTTTCATACCATGGGACGACGACATGGATATTTGTATGAACGGTTCTGATTGGCTTAAAGTTAAGCAGGTGAGAGCATGGTTTAGACCTAATCTCAGCAGTGTTGTTTCAGTTTTTGGTGGATTTTTTTTTTCAGAGTTACTTCCAAGTATGTCTTCGAAGCCCCCCCCCTCCCCCCCGAAGAAAGTCTACCGACCCAAACCCCTCGAATGAATTAGAATTTAGATTTAAAATGTATACTTTTACAGTGTCCGCCCCCCCCCCCCCGGAGAAAAAAGCCTGTGGAAGAAATACTGTTTTTTATACCAGCGACCGATAATAGTACAAAATTAGAATCTTCTTTAAAAATGGGTGACAGGTAACTGGTAGTCAACTAAATACACATGTCTTACTATTGTCAATGTTAACCCTATCCCTAACCCCAACCCCAACCCTAGTCCTATACGCTTAACTCTAATTTATAATCCTTAAACTAGACGAGATTAATTTACTACTAACAACCTAAACACACCTGTTTAAGAGACTATTATAAAACATAGGTATCCTCTATCATCCCAGTTTTCTTCAGTGGAGGGGGCTTTGAAACTTCTGGCTACGTAGGGCCCAGGAAGTTATAAAAACGAAAAATTTTAAAACATTTTTTATCTCTCTCAGAAAGGGAACGGGGTAGGGGACGTTGAATATGCTCCGATCCCTCTTTCCCCCTGAAAGAAACACCTGTCAGGTTAAGTGCCGAGCGGAGGGGAGGGCTGTACAATGTCAGACCCTGTTATCTTATCATCTCAACTCACCATACAAACATACGAAAATAAAGCATTTCTGTTAGGATTTAAGTAAAAGTTAGGATGTCGCCTTGTGATAATAGCTATTTAATATCGGAGGGGGGGTGGGGAGTAGGACTAACCGGAAATTTCGTTTCTTTTTTTTTAAACACATTATTTCTACTTTGAAAAATTTTAATAAAATCTTATAAATTTTAACATAAATGTATATAAAATCATATTTTAGTTTTTAATTTAAGCAAATACTATGCAGTTATAATATGTTTAAAATTGTTTAAAGTATTTTTAATAACCCGCTGATAACTTTGTATCTAATGTCTATAAATCACAACAGATAACTGAATCAAAAGTCTAAATAAAATGCCTATAAATCAAATCAAATAAATGTTTCGAATGTCTATAAATCAGATCAAATGACTGTAAATGTCTAGAAATCCCATTAAATGTCTGTATTAAACGTCTAAAAATCACAACAATTGACCTTATCAAATGTATATAAATCAGATCAAATGACTGTAACTGTCTAGAAATCCCATTAAAGGTTGGGTTTGTATTAAACGTCTAAAAATCACAACAATTGACTGTATCAAATGTCTATAAATCACTTCAAAAAATTATTTAAAATGTCTTTAAATTACATATAATAACAATGCAAGTGATTGCCTTGCAGGTTCTCCACTGTATACCCGGCTTTGACGTCCACACAGAGAACAACATGATGTTCAAATTTTTCTGGAACCAGTCCCCACTCTGGAAGGGCGAGACGTTCATCCGCTTCCCCTTCATCGACATCTTCTTCTTCAACGAAGACGCCGACTACATCTGGGCCATGACCCAGTTCAAGAAAAACCGTATCGTCTTCAGAAAATCGGACGTCTTCCCCCTGTCGTACCGACCCTACGAGGGGCTGGTCGTTCCCGTCCCTGGCGCCGTGGAGAAAATCTGCAAGACCGTCTACGACCCTAAGGTCTGCGTCAGTCGGGATTTCGATCACTTGAACAGACATTTCCTACCCTTTTATCAAGTGGAGTATGTGACTTGTACGGCGTTTGATCGGATTTACCCGTTCGTTGTACGTCACGATGTTATCGTAAATGGGAGGAGTGTAACAGTGGAATATAGAAAACTTGGAAGAAAAATGCTAAGTAACTTCACTGTATTTCATTGATAACGTGTGTAGATTATTTTTTGCTACTTCTCAAGAAATTCCACCTAAGAAATAGTTTGCTTGAATAACAAATTTGGGATGTTTAAAAAAGAAGAATCCAAATAAGATATCTCAGTTTCCATGCATGGTTTCAATAAACTCCACCCACTTGCGGAGATTATAATTGTTTGGAATTTGCTGACGGTGTTGTCCACTTGAGCACTGTTGTACATAACGAATTCATTAAATCAACCTTGGCATTCAGCTTCACATTCAGGGAACAAGCGACATGGTGGCACTACTGTGGCATTCCTGTTGTATTCTCAGACAGTGTTACAATATTTTAATCTCATCAAAAAATTTGTTTGATTCGTTTTCATATTTTATTATTATTTAAACTTATGATTATGTATTTAAAATAAAAAAAAATTCTCATATTTTTCAATAATTTGCTTTTATTATTATTATTATTATTACTTTTTCTTTCTTTTTGTTTTTAACTGAAAATGTTAATTGCATTTTTAATTTTCCAATAATTTCAGTAAACGTAATGTTTATTTTTTTCACATTATTGTAGACTTTTTTAAAATCCAGTTTACCTAACCCGAAGTAAAGTTCCCTTTCAAACCTGACGGTCTATGGGGCAAGTGAAGTAGAGTTCACTTGTTTCTGTAACCTCGGCTTATGAAGAGATAGTTCATTACCTCACCTGAAGTTCTTCTTATTCTCTACACTGCCGTGCACTTTCATTAGTAAAACACGGATTTACAGATAAACCGACATTTATCACGACCTATGAAATTCATTAAATTTTAATATAATATTTAGAAAATCATAATATACTTTTCGAGAATTATTGCAAATTCGTGGTATGTATACACAAGTTCATGCACCAAAATTAAAAAAACAAGTTAATAAAAAGTCTAGTGACAATTTAAGCGCAATTTCCTTAATTAATTTTTTGTGACCGAACGAAGGGATATTTTTGAAAACTTTCTTCGGCAATATTGTTCTAAATTATAACAGGAATCGATTGGTAAATGTTTCAAGTCGCTAAGTTGTCTGGTTGCCGAGATATGGACCAAAAACTGCATTTTTTCGAGGTTTTTTTGGCTTTTCCGGGAAATCCGGGAAGGAATTCCGGGAATTTTTTAGGCCCACAATCATCCTCGGAACTTGCTTAACATATTTGCTTTTGGAACTAGTCCTCAATATTGCTTCGTTGAGGAGGAGATACGACTTAAAGCTGCGGACACACATCCATCCATCCATCCTCCAGAAATAACGAGTTAATAATCGCAATTGTCCAGTATGGAAATTGCGCTAAAAATCCATCAGTTTTCAACGACCTCATGGACAATCTGGAGGCCGAATAAGCCCTAGTATACAAATCTATTGTTTTAACTTAGTTTTTACGCATGCTTGGGAGGTCTCTTCATGACCTATTTTGAAAAGACCTCAAAGATAAAATATCTGTGTCATTGTCCAAGCGTCTCCTCCATTTTAGATAAATGGCGGCAATCTCTTGGGCTGGAGGTTTGACGTAAACTCCAAGAGCGAATCTACCGTCTGCTTGTTGTCTAGATTTTACGTCCGTTGACACTAGATCAAGGTCGTGACCTACACGATGTTTGAAGCACCAGCCGAGGTGAGCGATGATGACGTAGATAACGAGCAGTAAGAACAGAGCATAACACGTACATCTTAGATGAGCGCCTGTTAAAAGATCACGTGGTCGGTTCATCTGCAGACAAAAATAGCTCATGGTCTTATCAATTCATCTAGTGTTTAACCAGAAACAAGCAAAGGAAAACTAACATTTATACACAGATTTAAAGCAATACTTAGAACGTTTCGTTATGTCAATTTTCTAGTCTAAAAAATAATAGATTGTTTCCCTTTTCAAATTTTGGAGCAAATCGTTCCAAAGGCTATAGGTCAAATTTAAATTACAAAAATTACCATAAATATATACACAGGGTGAATTAAAAATAGTTTACAACTAAAAAAATACAGATTATTGGCTTTGAATAGGTGGGTGATGTAATTTTCTTATCAAGCGAAGAATGAAGAAATCGTCGTCACTTTGTATTGTGATGATCCCACCACACTTCATTACTTCAGAAATTAGACCATCTCCCACCACAACTTGTTGTGTGTCGTCCTGTCTGGATGACCCCCCCCCCCCTTACACACACAAACACTCCGTCCGCGTGTAACAATTTTACAAGCCGTTTGGAGCGCTGTATACACAGCTGCGGGAGGGGGAGGACGACGCCTAAAAATAACATCACACTCCTAAGGGGGAAAGAAGAGGGTCGGAATTTTATGCTAAGGGTAGAGTGGGGGGGGGGGGTGGTTAGGAAAGTGTGATGCATTTTGGAAAAAGGACATTTAGGAACTAAATTTTAGAAGTTACTAGACCACCAGTCATCCTTTCGATAAGTGTGGGTTCGGGGGTCATTCATAAATGACATAACGTCTGTCACTTATCATCACAAAATAACCAGAACCAACATTCAAAACGACGTCATACCTCAAACGTTTTTGTTTTTTAAAAACACCAATTTCGACTGAGCATGGTTCTGACAACATTATCACTTCATATGCTGAGGTCACAAAAACAGGTCAACTCTACTTCACCTGCCCAATGTCCTCCTATGTCAGACATGCTTTTGTCTTTTAAAACACCAGCGATAACTCTATTTTTTAAAATACTTTTTTGAACTTGATGGCTGTCTTTATTTATCATACAATAAATAAAATGTATTTTATGAAAATATTTAATTAATTTACAGCCTACCTTTTCACATAAAATTGTGTGGTAAGGAGTTCCAATCAAAATACTTACAAAAGTGTCCATTGGACGCGCTATCAGAATAAAAATTTTATTCTATCATTTTATTCAGCTTCAACACCCCCCCCCCCACCCTCACCTCAAATCCAGTTTGCTGATGATTTGTATTCCAAAGATAACGAACAATTAGAAAAAAGATTTTAAGCTTTTTTTTTTCAACAAACAGTTATTTGATTTTGTTTGCATAAAAATAAAATGAATGTTAATGGAAGCGGCCTAGTCTGACGAGTGGGTCTTGATTTTTATTGTTGACATGGATAAAAACGTGGTTTTCAGATTTTGCCATCAAAGCTTCCGTAAAAAATATTAAAAAACATTTAACCTAAAAATAATTAAGAAATTCAATATTTTTAGAATCAATCTTATAAAAGTTGGGAATCCAGAGAACTTTAAATTGTTTTTTTAAATTTATATATTTTCATCAAGCCTAAGTTATAACTTGAAGTTTCACTTTTGCAAGACAAACATTGGCTAAACAGGAACTCCGTGATCGATATTCTGACAGCCCAACATAACTTTTTTATTTGTTTTCAAAACTTTGCCAATTAGAACTTTTAAATAAAATTATACTATTTAAACCACATTACCCAGTTCTGCCATTTTTGTTTGCAGTTTATCTGATAACATTATTTATTTTATGCTAGCCTATCGGATAGCACGATCCGTTATCACGTGAAAAAACAAATGGTTTTTGCCTTTGTTATAATTTTTGTTTAATTAATAAAAATACTAAAAGATTAAATACATCCAAACTTTAGTAAAGCTCGAAAAAAACAAAAACAAATCAGATTTGTATAACCAAATTGATTTCAATAATATCGCACCAGAATTTTAAAAATATTTGAAACCCCATTAAGAGACTATTCACGGCTTCATCCATTTTATGTATCAGTAGCGTTGTATTACACTTTTATAGGCCCCACTGTAACCAACACAAACTTATTTCGATGACGATATTTAGAATGGGTTCGATTATTGCTATCGTCACCTGATGGGATAATGCAACTATGAGAAGCCTAGCATACTCAATCTGATTTTACTATCCTAGATTGTGTAGTAGATAAAGAACACAATCTAAAATAGCGAATATCCAATGGTGATATCTGACCCACAATTTCACAACCCGTTTTTAGTCATACATCAATTCAACAGTCCTACTCTCTTTCTCTTAACACCCCCCCTCTTTCCCTGCACTTCCGGGTCACAGAAATTAGTCTTAACTCACCTTGTTGTAGACTGAAGCTCACTAAAATGATCAACTGAAACTCCACCTAAATTATTAACTTTAACTTCACCTAAATAATTAACTTTACCTAAATGATTAACTTTAACTGCAATTAAAAAATTAACATGAACTTCACGTCGTCCATAAATGACGTCACACTCGTAGTGGGGAGGGGGGTCCGTAATTTTGTGACGGTGTGTGGTGAGGGGGTGGGGGGGGGGATTCAGATGGTGCGACGTCACACTTTTGCATTATACAAAAGCAATGTTAGAAAACGAAATTTAGACGTTATTTCGCGTTTTAGAAAATTGTTTTAATAAATTGTAATAGGAATTGATTAAAATACTCTTTTTTAATAGAGTTCAAACAATATTTTAGAAAAATATCGATGTTTAAAAAAAAATCAACTTCAATTTTGAGGGGGGGGGGGTTGTAGGCTGAAATGTGACGTCATTTTATGAGGGGGGGGGGTCTGGCTTTTGTTGACGACGTGTGACGGAGGGGAGGGGGGAGGTAAAAAACGTCAAAAAAAAGCGTGACGTCATTTATGGATGACTCCTAAATGATTAACTTTAACTTCACCTAAATGATTAATTTTAACTTCACCTAAATGATTAAGTTCAACTTCATCTAACCATAGATTGGCAGCTCACTAAAATTGTTATCTCCGCCTTACCATAGTCTTGTTCTCACTACAATGGTTAGCTTTACTCCACCTAAAATGACAAACTTTACTAAAATGATTAGCTTTACTCCACCTAAAATGACAAACTTTTTTAAAATGATTAGCTTTACTCCACCTAAAATGACAAACTTTACTAAAATGATTAGCTTTACTCCACCTAAAATGACAAACTTTATTAAAATGATTAGCTTTACTCCACCTAAAATGACAAACTTTATTAAAATGATTAGCTTTACTCCACCTAAAATGACAAACTTTACTAAAATGCACCCACGTCTTTAAAAACACGGATCAGGTAAAATCTGTTCTACACCAACAAGCGGGACATCATTTTTGCGAAACAAAACTAATAAAAATGGTTTTCTGGAAACTCCAAACATCCGCTTGCTAGATCGTGTTATCAGAGGTGAGGGGTTCGGGGTGGGGGTATGTAATCAGTTGCGCCATGTTAGGTGTTAGAGCATGGGATTCAAATCCTTTCTTTCATAACTCCCTACCATTCCCTTTCATAGAAGCCACACAATGAAAATTGATAAGTTGTTGGCGACGGTGAGTTCGTTTCACTTTGACTTTAGAATGTTTACCTTTTCGAAAAAAGTGTACGTCGTTATGCAATATATATATATATATATATATATATATATATATATATATACGAGCCGACCCGCGGCGTATCATACGTCGCTATTTAGTTGTTTTTTCAACATTTCAGTAATTCATAATTTGTGAATTCGACAGTACCAATGCTGCCACTGAAAATATTTGTTTTAAAACACTAAAACCCTCCTTTCCCCCAACCCCTGCCCCACCCCCTCGTGAAAGCAGCCTCCTCTTAGTTACCTCCTGTAAGTTTAAAATCGTTTCAAACTAAATTATCTGCCCCTAAAAGCCGTCACTAAACCTGTCTCTACGGTTTGTAAACATTTAGCGTGAACCACAGCTCACCAGACCATGCGAGAGGGGGGGTGGTAGCGATATAGAGGAAGAGAGGGGACTGCAAGGTGCGATTGCAGCTTGTTTTCTATCGTTTTCCAGAAGAGAATTATATATATATATATATATATATATATATATATATGTATATATATATATATATATATATATATATATATATATATATATATATATATATATATATATATACATATATATATACATATGTATGTATGTATGTATATATATATATATATATATATATATATATATATATATATATATATATATATATATATATATATATATATATATATATATATATATATATATATATATATATATATATATATATATATATATACGTTTTACTTCCGCCCACCCACCCACTCCCCCATTAGGCAACAAACACCTGCCTACTTCGCTGTATGCAAGACAATACGAAGTCAATTATTGAGTGAAGGGATAGGTCGATCTCGAATTCCCGGCAGGCTGTCGTAAAGTTGCTGCTGTGTGTTAATATATCAGCCGTCTGTACAAGGAAATGTCACTGTTCCCTCGCTATTCGAGAGCTCCAAGTATTTAGCCAGCAGGCTGTTGTAGCAGGAAATGCTTTCAACGTGCCGCCTTATTGAATGAGATAACGCACAATTTTTATTTTTTAAACTTAGTTTAATCTCACATTAAATGCCTGTTCCACAAAGCCTACACGAACGCTTGGATGACTCAGGGTAGCATTACCCCCCCCCCCCGCCTCCCTCCCCAGAAATGTGTTGGTCCCTGATTCGCGACACAGAATCCATTTTTTTTTAAAGTGGCGATTTAGAGTTTCTTTCTTCGGAAGGGTTGGGGGACGGGTTGTGATGTATATAAAAGATATGTATTTATCCATTGTCCACCTTTCCCCTCAAGATATATAAGTGCCACCCCCCCCCCCCCCCATCATTGTTTCAAGTGCTCCCCCATATTGATTCAAGTATCCCCCTTCCCAGATGAATAATTGATACAAAAGATACACTAGTTAAGTGAGTGTTTAAATACAGCACACCTTGGGGCGACCGGGCGGTAATGTGGACATACCCGCGCCCCAACAACTAAGACCCAACATTAAATAGTGCCTTGAAAAGTTGACGATTTAGAAGTAGCGTCACATTGGCCATAACTTGTGTACATCTATAATATAAAAGGGGAAAGCGTGTGCTTCTGTTGTGACCTAATGTCCCTGCGTCTTCAAAGCTTAGAATATAAATTTGTTACCCATGAAGTTAGATTTCCGTTATTGTGTTGCCCACCATTGTATTACAAATTAACAAGATATACAGTCGTCCCTCAGTTATCGCGGTTCATAGGGACAAGAACCGGCCGCGATAAGTGAAAAACTGCGAAGTAGTAAGACCCTCTGAAATTTTTTTACATACGAACAATTCAGTGTTAGCATAATATAAAATAAGTATATACAAAACCTAATAAGTTTATACGTTATCATTAGAACATTAATAGTATAAATATTAAACAATATACTTAAAATTATGTATAAATAATATAAGTTTGAAACTTGTGTGTGTGTGTAACATAAGTAGTTGTAACTAAAGTGTATATATGATTTAGAACAGGGGTCTCCAAACTACGGCCCGCGGGCCGGATCGCGAGGTCATCTCATCCGGCCCTCGGAGATCTTTTAGTCCATGGAAAAAAAATGTTTGTTGTAGGTGGCTGAGGAAAAATGCCACCCCAATGAGATGCCTGGAAGAAACTCTGGCCCCCGAACTTATATTTGATAGTTAATGCGGCCCTCGGACTGAAAAGTTTGGAGACCCCTGATTTAGAACACTCATTTTTTAACAAATTTTCCCTTATAAGAAGGTACTTAACTCACAACTGACAACAGCTTATCTTCGCTTGATTTTTATAAATATCGATGAAACACTCATGCAGTATGATGGAGATGAAGAATGAGAAAATGATTTACTGCCCCTATTATTGAGAGCGTAGTGGATTTTGAATTGCTTCCCCTCTGCTCTTTACTGGCTTGCGGGTAGCCTTCACTGAATAATTCCTCAATATTGAATTTTTTATCAATATATTTTAATGTTAGGAGGCCATGTGTTACGAATCTTGGGTTGTGTATCGTGTGCGGTGGACTTGTGAATGTTGTATAATTTAAAAAAAAAATTTAACAGTAGATTTAAAAATACTCTAATATATGTTTGGCAGCTGTATTCTAGCGTAACACAAGTACAAATGTAAAGTCTAGTAAAAATCTATGACATCTTAACGAAAGTCATAACTTAAAACCTGAACTTTAAAACTGACAAATTCGGTCTGCTGTCCTAACTACGTCAATACAACAATCGATTATGGTTTACATCGCTGATCGATGTGTATTTCTCAGATTCTCCAACAGATATCTCGGCAATAAAAATATTTTGTTGTACTATACTCTCAGCCAATAACAACGAAATAAAAACTACATACCAAACAGAACAATGCATGTAAACATAATTCTTTTACAAACATTCTACGTACACCACAGACACAAACATTACGCAAGCACCTATCGCTACTCCTACCAACAGACAACACATTTTGCTAATAAAAACTATTCCGGAATAGTTCATCCTATCACACACTACTTCTAAATACACTACCCTTACACACACTATCCCTAGAAACGTTATCACTTAAGCCTCGACTCCTACACATAAACATACACAATATACCTACCCACTACAACTACAAACATTACTCCTTCACACACTACTCTTACACACACTACTCCTACACACACTACTCCTACACACACTACTCCTACACACACTACTTCTACACACTCTTCTTCTATATACACTACTCCTACACACACGACATTCCTACACACACTTCTCCTACACACTACTTCCATACACATTACTTTTACACACTACTTCTACACACACTACTCCTACAAACACTACTCCTACAAACACTGCTCCTACACACACTATTCCTACACACACTACTGCTACACATACTACTACTACACACTATTCCTACACACACTACTACTACACACACTACTCCAATACACACTACTCCACCACACTACTCCCACAGACACTACTACAAACACTACTGCTACACACACTACTGCTACACACACTACTCCTACACACACTACTCTCCACATATTAACTTCACATAGCTCTTACGCAAACATCTGCACCTGTTACCTCATTATATGACATAAAATTATGGTTTCTAAAACTTTTTACCAAGTCGATTTTACAAAGATACTTATTTTAAAATAAAATAATCTTTAAGACATCTAAGAATTTTTAAAAAGACTTTGCTAACAATTGAAGTACCATATGATTGATAGCGAGTGTGTATAAACCTGAACATGTATAAGATAATGCACATGCGTCTGTGTCTTTCTTGTTTGCATTACTAACTATTTGTTTTTAATAATTTTGTAATTCTCAATTTAATTTTTTTTATATTAAGAATTCTGACTAGTACGGATCAGGATAGCTTAAAAATGAATGAATGGTATAGAACGTAATAGGAAGCATTTAGTAAAGCTATTGTTTTAGTTTGAGAGATTCAGCACGTTTGGTTAATTAGCGAAAAGTTGGTTCTATAGGGCTGGTAAGTAGATCAACAACCAGTTCTATGACTCATGCAGATTTTATTGAGCCGTAGAACTGGTTGGTGACCTACTCACCAGCCCTATTGCGGTACAGAGAAGAAAGAATTAAGACGTGGTTGTTTATCAAAGTTAGCAGCGTTTTCAAATCTGGTCGATGATACTACGTAGTCGATAGCTTGGTATGTTGAAATACCCATAAATTGTGCGGGGGACCACCCACCCCACCCACAATGTGTAGGTGTTGTTATTTTGTACCTCCAAACAAAGAAATGTTTACAACATCGAACAGTACAAGATTTAAAATAAACAAAGTTTTCTGGTTAAAGTTTTGATTTCAGGGAATTTTATTACTAAAAGTCTTTGTTGTAGCAATAAAAAAACGTAAATTCCCATCAATATTTCAATAGGTTTGTTTTTCAGCATGCTGCACTGTTACTGTTACACAGCTGTTTACGTTGCTTTTTGAAGTTTTTGTGTGCGACTTGACAGATGTGTTGGAAGAGAATGGAAGAAGCACTATCTAAACATATCAGATAATAAGAAAGTCTCCCCTTTCCTTTATATTTTTAGATCCTACACTAACTAAATCTTGGGGACTTGAAAATAAATTTGTATACACTTTTACCAAACGGGAAAATGTTTTCTTTATTTTACTACCCCGGCCCCGTTGGTAATTGTTCTTACTTTAGGACAAGTTATAATGAATCATCTTTGGTTCAGGGGCGGAACTAGCATGTCGCTATACACCGCTGTTTGGGCTTAATTTTGTGCGTTATCACGGACCTTTATGGTTGAAATTTATATATAGTCAACGAAAACTTATTAAAAAATTCATTATGCCAATTTTGAGAAAAAAAAAACGCTTTAAAATATTTGTTTTTTGCCTGCCGACGTAAATATTGCTATTGTTATTTTTAACATTATATTTTGGCTATTATCGAATAATGAAACAATGTCTTCTCTTAATTATAATTGTAATAAAACATGCTAAAGAAAGGGAAATTTATTAAAAAGAAATATTTCAAAATTAGCACAAGAAAAAACCCAGACACCCATTATGAATATCAAGCTTTCCTGTTTCGTATTTTCTTGATCGGCATGCAAGATTTGAAGTTTCGCATTTCGTAATATTTAATAGTAATAAAATGAGTTACGAACATTTTTTAAACTCGATTATTTCGAGCACGAAATACGTTTAACCCTACTTTACGTGGCGTGTAATATATATATATATATATATATATATATATATATATATATATATATATATATATATATATATATATATATATATATATATATATATATATATATGTATGTATATATATATATATATATATATATATATATATATATATATATATATATATATATATATATATATATATATATATATACATACATACATACATATATATATATATATATATATATATATATAACACATCGGAGCATCACGTTTTTTTTCCGCCACTGCTTTATGTATTGAAGATTGCGTGGGCTTAAATCAATAATAACATTGTTTATGTTTCTGGATTAATAAAGTAGCGTATAAAAGATCGCATGTGCAATGTTTTAGGCTGTATTTCGCATTGAGTATCAAGCTCATCAGTTAACTTTGGTAAGCCAAGTTTCGTAAGAAATTACGGGAGTTGTTTGGTAAACTTGTTTTTTTTTTACACTTCAGTGCTTCTAGGAACTTTGTCTTTAAGTTTTTAGAATTTGATTTGTTTTATATACAACTAGGCATACTGCCTAGCTTCGCTTAGGTTTTCAAAAACATTTGATAATTTGAATAGTAATTATTAGGTGATGGATGAGGCGTGGAGTGCTTAAATGTAAACAGTAATGCTAATTTTAGAGAAGATGTTGTATGCCTATGCCAGGGGTCGGCAACCTTTTGAAGCGAAAGAGCCAAAAATTACAATTTTCAAAATTTCCCTGGTTTTAAAGAGCCACTAACATATTTTTAATTCAAATATTTTATTTTTTTTATTAATATTATTAGAATTTGTTCAAGGAGCTGGAGAGCCGCATCTTGATATCAAAAGAGCCGCATGCGGCTCGCGGGCCGCAGGTTGCCGACCACTGGCCTATGCTCTTTAACATCAGCTTTCAGAGAAACTGTTCGAAAGTACGCAATATATAACTAAGATGGAAATAGAACTACAGAGGTTCCATGAACAGTATATCTCATAATTTATATTACATTGACTTTTAAAATTAATTTTTTATTTAATTATGATACGTAGCTTAATTAATAACTTATTTTTATCTAACACAAATGCTATACTTTGTCGTTTTCTGTTTCTGTTTAAAATAGTATACAATTATTTGAAAAATAATTATTTAAAAAGGTTACCTCCCTTGGAAATTAACCGAATGACGTATCTCTGTGTTTACTTTTTTTTAAACAAACAGTTACTATGCTTATATAAGAAAATACGATATATAAACATATTTAACGACTACAATAGCTTTTTCCGACGGGATTAAAGTTTTTTTGTTACCCTCCAGGGTCGGTCTACGACCTCAAATAATATTAACGGGATCGATCGTCAAATTATTTATATATATCTCATATAAGGAGAATTTCACTCGCGGTCATCTTTTAGCACTGGTCGAGGGCTTTGAGTCTGACCAACAGTTTTTCCATACGGCCTAGTCATCTATAGAAATGTATGCAAAACATTAGCATGATGTACAGAGGTTAAGTAACGTAAAAATTGTGTTGAAATTACCCTGTTTTTTCCATAAAATACAAAGATTATATAGGGAAATACGACTGGTCAGTTTTGACCGCTTTACGAAGTTTTCCCAGATATGCCGAGTTTTTTGTGACACCCCAAGGCGTTCTCCTACCACCTCACAAAATTTCAAGGGGGGTCGTCAGAGGAAATTTTTTTTCGTAATAGAGCTCATAAAAGAGAATTTCACTCGCGGTCACTTTTTAGCCCTCGTCGAGGGCTTTGAGTGAAACCGACAGTTTTCCCTAAAGGTCAAGCCATTGACCTAAGAGTATGCAAAAATTTAGCCAGATATACTGAGTTTAAGTACCCTAAAGCCTGCGTTGAAATGACCCTCTGTTTTTCCAATAAAATACAAAGATTATATAGGGAAATACAACTGGTCAGTTTTGACCGCTTTACGAAGTTTTCCCAGATATGCCGAGTTTTTTGTGACACCCCAAGGCGTTCTCCTACCACCTCTCAAAATATCAAGGGGGGTCGTCGGAGGAAATTTTTTTTCGTAATAGAGCTCATATAAAGAGAATTTCACTCGCGGTCACTTTTTAGCCCTCGTCGAGGGCTTTGAGTGAAACCGACAGTTTTCCCTAAAGGTCAAGCCATTGACCTAAGAGTATGCAAAAAATAGCCAGATATACTGAGTTTAAGTACCCTAAAGCCTGCGTTGAAATGACCCTCTGTTTTTCCCATAAAATACAAAGATTATATAGGGAAATACGACTGGTCAGTTTTGACCCATTTCCCGATTTTTCCCGGACATGGCGAGTTTTTTGTGACACCCCAAGGCGTTCTCCTACCACCTCACAAAATATCAAGGGGGGTCGTCGGAGGAAATTTTTTTTCGTAATATAGCCCATATAAGGCGCCGGTCAGTCGAGGTCAGTTTTGACCCCCTCTCCGTATATTTTTCGGCCAACCGTCACCGGCCCTCGTGTTCTATCGCCCGAAGGTACCATCGTGCCAAATTTGACGCGCCTGCGGCGCCGGGAAGTGCCCTATCGGGCACTTGACCACTTTGCTTTATATATATAGATTCTAGGATGGGACGGAGTGGTCTAGTGGTAACGAGCTGGACTGCTAACCCGTATGTCTCGAGTTCGAAGTCGGGTTCAAGTCATTAGACCGTCCCTAAGTCCACCCAACTCTGATGGGTACCTAACTCATGTTAGGGAAAGTAAAGGCGGCTGGGCATAGTGCTGACCACACTATCTCTTCATATACCGAGTTTACAGAAACAAGTGAACTCTACTTCACTTGCCCCATAGACCGTCAGGTTTGAAAGGGAAACTTTACTTTTTACTTATTTATAAACAATTTTAGACACGGAAGGAATGAACATCAATTTATAAAGACACATTAAGCTAAATGTGTCTTAATATTTAAGATAAACACAACTGATCTTTCGTTGAACTGAATTAATGTTCTCTTTTACAGTAATACATAATATAATATTGATGCCATTAAAACGTATAATAAAAACGATGTCTTTGTTTTAATTACCAATCGTGACGATTGATGTTTGGAGCTCTAACTACACAAGCTAGACTTGTAAAATGAAGCGACATTCTCGTCTACGATGTCATGATTGATTTAGGCTATAGCTATAGACAAAATGAAATGGCGCAAGCATGTTGTCTCTATTGGGCATTGATAGATGGTAATAATATGAAGATTATGATATTGATGATGATGATAACGACCACGACGACGACGACAGTGTTGATGATGCTGTAATGATGATAATGATGACAATGATGATGATGACGATGAAAATGGCGATGATCATGATCATGATGATCTTGTCATGATCATGATGACGCTATGATAACAAATTGATGAATTAAACCGAACAATATGTTAAATAACATAATTGACCAAATATTATTAGGTTTCATTGTTAATTGCGTGTATCATATAAATTGAATTCGATGATATTTCCAAAATCTTCCAACTCAAATGCTGAGCTATTAGAATCAATGACATGGTGATAGCTCTAATCTTTATCGATACCATCTTTTCACATCTTTTTCCATTATTAAAGAAAAACACTGATATTCAACCCATTCTTAACTAGTTCATTCGTATTTGTTTTCGTCGTAAGAAATAACTTTAAGTTGTCATTATTTACGGGATATTTTTAAACTAATCTTTATGTTGATGATTTGGCTTTTCATGGTCATAGAAGTTTTAAATTAATTTAAATTGATTTAAATACGTAGATGACTGCCAAACGTTAATATAAATAATTATTGCATAAATATAACAATATATTACATATGCTAATGCGAACATGTAAAAATTGTACTCTAACTTGCGTATGCTAATAAAATACCATCCTTATTAAGACTGGTTGTTCCAAAAATGGAATCTGAGTAACTTTAATGTTACAGAAAAGTTATCGAAAAACAAGTAGCAAGCCAGCGCCATGAAGCTATTTATAGCAGTCGTGTTGCTTTTCGGCGTATCTCCTGCACAGCGTGAGTATACATTTTACACTGGTTGTTTGCACGGAGTTGACGCTAGAAGAAAGATGTGAGGTTTATTAATTCATCACACATTCTTATATGTTTTAAATAGCTTTAATACTACCATTATGAGGCGACGTGGTCTAGCGATAGAGCGCTAGACTGCTAACCCAAACGTCTACAGTTCAAATCAGAGTTCAAGTCAGTGGAGCGTCCCTGAGACCACCCAGCAAGTGTGGCAAAGCTAAGGCTGACCACACTATCCCTTCATATGCCGAGGGCAAGAAACTTATGTACTCTAGTTCATCTTCCCAATGGATCGCTTGTTCTAAAGAGTAAACTTTAATTATTTTTATACTGCCATTGCAGAGTGTCTAGTAGGTTGGACACAACGACCAAATACAAATTTCTGCTACCTCTATAAAGCAACACCCAAATCGTACAGTGCTGCAATGGATGACTGTACCTCTTATAACGGTGTAATATCTAACGTTGGGGATCAAGCCGAACAAGACTTTATAGCAGGTAATTACACATCAATAAACGAATGAAGGAGGTATGAAAACAAACCTTGTATCTCGAGTACTCCCCATCATCAGCTTTCCCCAGTCGTGCCCAAGAAACTATTGGCGCCCACAGAAAGCTCTTCCCAATTCTGTCGGTCTCTGGCATTTTCCTGGCAGTGCTACAAGATAGTCCTGGATCTGCACGTTGTTTTTCTGATGTGCGCCTCTACGTCTAACTTGGCCTTACTTATTTTTTCTTGATACGTCCAGTTAAGCGCCATCCTTGAGATATCAATTAAATTCAATCTTAAAACGTGACGCGTCCAGGGTCATTGTCTTTTTGTAGCTTCTTTCTGAAACGGATGTATTCATATTATCACATAAGATACTTTGATCTGAGAAAAACTTTATTATGTAACACTAGTATTTTTTTTTACCTATGTCAGTTTTCTACTGGGTAGAAAATCAGCAATCAGCTTAGTTCGGTGCAATTAAATTATTATTGTTGTTATTTATAAAGACAAGAAAAGGTTGAAAGTTGTAGAAATAGTTACTTTATCAAAAGTAATCATTCCCGTTGTTTTGCTTGTATTCCTCCTTCACTAAAACATCTTTCCCACAAATAATAACACAGTCCAGATAGATCAACGTATTACACATGCAAACTTATGTATAGTTTTTTAAAATTCTGTTTATATACATGTATTAAAAAAAGAAAATACAGTATATAATAACTAGCTGTATACCCGTGCTTCGCAAAAAAAAAAACCCAACACAAATACAAAGGAAAACAATCGCAAACAAAAACAAAAACGCAAACAAAATCACAAACATAAACACAAGCAAAAATGCAATGACCAAAGCAAACACAAAAGAAAAAACCAAAACAACACAAACGCAAACGCAAACATAAACAAAACAGCAAGCACAAAAGAAACGCAAACACAAACGCAATTAGAAACACAACACAACGCAACACGCAAACGTAAATACAGAACACATATAAAACAAACGACCGTGTATACACATGCTCTCACGCACCGACGAACAACACGATTTCCTGGTCGTCTTCGTCCTTTGACCGCCTTTCCCACATTCGTTATCACCGAAAAAAAATATTGTATAAGTATTAAAATTTTGCCGACAATTATAAGCTTTAAGTCAAAACTTTGTCAACAAAAACAAATTAAGTCACATAAATAGATCCTACTCTGTAACTTACAATAGGACAATGCGATGCATGTAATTGTATGGCAAGTGGTGTTTACTTTTATTACTCTAAGAAAACACATTGGCAATGTAATTGGATTCACCGCCAAAAAACACGCTTTCGTAGGCGTCCGCGCCCAGAGAGAGAGAGCCTTTGCAGCTTTCTCGAAAAGTCCTATTTCACCATCCGTTTAAATAACACGGAAAACGAAAAACAAAAAATAGTGAGTTTGAGAGATCATAGACTAATTAGAAAATAATATACATAATCTTAACATTTTTCTATTTTAATTATGACCCTTAACATATAATAATTAATGCGGTAGTAATAAAAAAAAATAACTTAAATTATTGAGAGTAAGTTGAATTTATTTTTAAATTACCTCACATGGCATAACTATTAAAATATTTTAATTAATTAGTTTTTCGACCCTACTGTTATTAAAATGTATCCTTTTTTTCTAAGAATCTAAACGACAATTATATTTGACATTGGTCCGTTAAAATGTTTAAGCTATCTGTGTGTATTTAATATTTCTTCACGTTATGCGAAAGCGTAAAAACTGTGGCTACTATAAAATAACTTTAAGTCGTTATATAAACAAATCCTACTCAATTACTTATAATAAATAAAATCGATGCAATTTAAAAGCCCTGCATGGTTCGATACTTACCTTTACTGTTCAAAAATCTATAGCGATGACGGAATGACGGACGGAATGACCGACACACTACCAGCATCGTTATATTAATGTAGAAGCATCTCTGTTTCAATAATTATAAAGAAAGTCGTGGTCTCTTAAAAAATTTAAACATTGTTTTCAATATATAATAATTATAGTACGTCAAGTCGTTCTTTAAAGCTATTTAATTTAAATAGTTTTGATTCATTATATAATTAGAGGAAAATTATTATTTTTTCCTTCTCGTGCTTAGATACAATTCAGCACGATAGTCCCAGCTGACGATGAAAAAAATACCCAACAGACCGTTGAACCAAACTCTATTCAGATTTCTGATTTTTTTTTTACTAATGTGATAAATTGTATCCTAAGACATTCTTTGTTGTGTGTATGTTACCGATTAGAAACACAAATAATACTGTGACTATGATAACACTATAGTTACACAACTATAGCTCTACAATACTTTAAAGAGTTTTATTTAAATCTAAGGTCTGATAACTTCACAAACAAGCGATGTATGGATCGGTTTTTCTGATGGTTCAAGGCATGAGGGAATTTGGATTTGGCTCTACGAACCCTGTAAAACATATTTAAATTGGGATGCAGGTAAAAAGTTGCAAGTTACTTTTAAAGTTCCGTTACTGTGTGTGAGCTTGAGTGTGAGTTTGTGTATGTGAGTCTATGTGTGAGTATGCCTGTAAATGTAAATATAAATGAAATGTACTTGTGATTATAATTATAAATGTGAATGAGACTGTAATGTGAATGTGAATGTGAATGTGAACATGAACTTCAAAGTATTATATATATATATATATATATATATATATATATATATATATATATATATATATATATATATATATATATATATATATATATATATATATATATATATATATATGTATATATATATACATAATTAGTCTATGAGTATGCTCGTGTGTTTATTTTATTGGCACAATCATATTTGGCTGCTTTAATCAAAACTTGTGTAATAAAATTTGTTTTTAACTTCTTTATCTAGATCTTCTTCTTCTTCTTCGTTCTTAATTATTAGTGTTGAAGGGGATCGAGATTTATCTGCCAGTGGGTTTGAACTCGAGACTGTTCGAATTTATCAACCATGAGCTTTTTGCCGACTCGACCACGCCTCCAACACAATTAAGCGTTACGTGTCAACTGGTTATGCGCCATTGAGGCCCTTGACTCCGAATATCAGCCTTTTTTTTTATTAACACGTTTTTCTTAACTCAGCTTCGCGTTTGTTTGTTTGTTTGTTTGTTGTTAAAATTGACATCGAAAATTAGCCCACTTCTGATTGCTCTAGAGACCTGAAATTTGGCATGCATGCATGCATGCTACTTTCGCCTAACAATTTCAGATGCAATCATAAAAACTAGCAATTAGTGACCGTAATTAGCTTAATTTAATAAGCCCCAAGGACCATAAAATTGAGGACATGATTTCTAAAGATACCGACAAGACTTGAGGCCTATTGACACAGTTACTTCGGCCCCAATCGATGTGAGCGCGCTGGCCGTGATCGTATAGTGGTTAGTACTTCGCGTTGTGGCCGCGACAACCCAGGTTCGAATCCTGGTCGCTCAAGATTTTTAGTCCGTGTATTTATAAACACTTTTTTAAAAACCACGTTTTTCATGTGTAGCAACGGACTAAAAAGGAGAAAATAAAATACTTAAAAAAAACTTTTTAAAAAACCACGTTTTTTATGTGTAGCAACGGACTAAAAAGGAGAACGGACACGGTAACACATTGTTAACGGTGACACGGTTGGTACGCTGGGCATGCTAAAATACACATAAACACGTTTTTCCTTAACTCAGCTTCGCGTTTATTTGTTTGTTTATGGGAGATTTGATCACGTGATTCGTGAGTAGATCTCCACGCCAGCAACGTAAATTACACCCTTTCTCTGTTTAAAGCGTATCGGTCGCTCAAGATTTTTTTAGTCCGTGTATTTAAAAACACTTAGTCAAGTCATACTTAATCAAGTGATTAGATTAAGTAGAAAATAAACTATATAAAAAACTTTTTAAAAACCACGTTTTTCATGTGTAGCAACGGACTAAAAAGGAGAAAATAAAATACTTAAAAAAAACTTTTTAAAAAACCACGTTTTTCTTGTGGACTAAAAAGTAGAAAATAACTATTTACATACATTTGATGACAAAAAACGTGGGTCAGGCAGATGGGTCGGGAAATTTGATGGTGAACGTACCCACGTTTTTTGTCATCAAATGTATGTAAATAGTTATTTTCTACTTTTTAGTCCACAAGAAAAACGTGGTTTTTTAAAAAGTTTTTTTAAAGTATTTTATTAACACGTTTTTTTTATTAACTCAGCTTCGCGTGTGTTTGTTGTTAAAGTTGACATCGAAAATTAGCCCACTTCTGATTGCTCTATAGATCTGAAATTTGGCATGTAGGCTACTTTCGCCTAACAATTTCAGATGCAATCATAAAAACTAGCAATTAGAGACCGTAATTAGCTTAATTTAATTACGCCCCAAGGACCATAAAATTGAGGACATGATTTCTAAAGATACCGACAAGACTGGAGGCCTATTGACACAGTTACTTCGGCCCCAATCGATGTGAACGCGCTGGCCGCGATCGTATAGTGGTTAGTACTTCGCGTTGTGGCCGCGACAACCCAGGTTCGAATCCTGGTCGCTCAAGATTTTTAGTCCGTGTATTTATAAACACTTAGTCAAGTCATACTTAATCAAGTCATTAGATAAAGTAGAAAATAAACTATATAAAAAACTTTTTTAAAAACCACGTTTTTCATGTGTAGCAACGGACTAAAAAGGAGAAAATAAAATACTTAAAAAAAACTTTTTTAAAAACCACGTTTTCTTGTGGACTAAAAAGTAGAAAATAAATTTTCATACATTTGATGACAAAAAACGTGGGTCGGGCAGATGGGTCGGGAAATTTGATGGTGAACGTACCCACGTTTTTTGTCATCAAATGTATGAAAATTTATTTTCTACTTTTTAGTCCACAAGAAAAACGTGGTTTTTTAAAAAGTTTTTTTAAGTATTTTATTGGATTTGTTTCCATAGCCTTTGTCCAACCAAGAACAATCTACAAGGCAGCAGTTGTTTAATTTTGGAGTTGTCTCTCCTAGAAGAGTGACTGTCCCCAGCTAACGAGCCTCATCTGCCCGAGGGTTCGAACTCGAGACTTTTCGGTTTAGCAACCATGAGCTTTACAGACAAAATAAAAGTGTGAAATTGAAGTGTAATTTTTGTTAAATATTTTTCGCCAATTGTATAAGTTAAATGGTATCTTGAATTGTCTTTACGTTTTCAGGACAACCAAGCTATGGGAACGGTGGCAAAGACTGTGCGGTTATGAAAAGTTCCCAAGCTTCATCTCACCGCTGGGACGATAGAGCTTGCACCAATTTAAATGCTTATGTTTGCAAGACAAATCTAGGTATGTTTCAACGGTTCCATGATAAATGATCTCAGGGCAAATGATCTTACATAAGGGAAACAAAAGATAGCTGGGCATAGAAATGATCACATTATACTCTACTTCATCTGCCAAATGTGAATTGGGCACAAACGGGAAAAAAGAAGATGAAAGTAATGTTGGGCAACATTAAATGTTTTCAAATCAATTCTTGAAAATAAATAGAAAGTAATGTGTATGTTTTACAGCGATAATAAGTGTGTAAGCTGTGACTAATATTTGAAATTTTTCTGACCCAGATGGTACCTCGATGTTTGATTTAGCAAGCTTCAATATGGTAAAATCCAGTTTACATTTTTACATTCTGTTTAATATTATAAAACAAAATGAGCGTTGTTCAAATAGATGCCACGCATTGATAAAAACTTCTTTGAGAGACCAACCAAAGTAATTAATTAATAGTTGATTTCTAGGCTCGAGTCGCATTCAACATTACGAAACGCAAGAAATTTTTTTAAAAAGCGGCTAAAGATAAAACTTTAACCAACTGCAATTTACACACAACATAAGAATTAAATGAGAATTTACTAATTAATAAATTACTTTAATTACACACTATCGCAAACAAAGAAAATATTAATATTAAATATTTTTAAATTGCAAAAGAAATATACTAACATAACACACGTGAAAAATACAAACATTTATTAACACTGTTATCTCTTGCTTAAATTTTCAAGAAAAAGTTTTTCAGTCTCCAAGTGTTTATTAAATATATGGGAATCTCATTTTCAGCCTGTTATAAAAATAATACACTAGGCATTTGCTTAAATTATAAATAAATTTAAATTATATTTGCTTTATTATTTAATTGGCACGTAAAACCTTTTAAATTTTTACTGGATAAAAAACACATTAATCTCTAATGTTTTGTGTATTCAGTCCTGAAAACGTGCATAAGGCTGAATTTATTAGTTAAGTTAAGAGTATAACAATGAAGAGGTATAGCCTTATTATTTTATGATTTCTATAACCTCAGTATAATAGATAAAATTGAATAATGTGTGATTATTAAAGAAATAATGTTCTTTATATATTTAACACATTATGCTGTTGACGAGCGAAATAGAACTTGATACATTCACTCGGCGAGGTCGAGGCGGTAAAGCTAATGGTTACTAAACGGAAAAGTCTCGAGTTAAAACCCCCAGGCAGCTTGAAAATCAAACAACTGTTGTCTTGTAGTTTGTTCCTGGAAGGCCACGGAAGTAGATCCAAAAAGAAAAGCAGGCTGAAATAACAAGTTGACACGTAATACTTAAGAACGGAGAAGAAGAAGGAACATTTTACTTTAAAAAATGTATTGAATGTTCACATCGACAGGAATGCTACATCAACTGCCTTACAAAGTTCCCTGCTGGCACATGTATTGGTATAGAATACCGGAATAACACATGCATATATGAAATAATAACCTATGACCATACATCAAATGGTGTTAACACGTCATACATTGCATGCACGACAGGTGAGCGAAAGCCTTTATTCAAACACACTTTTCAATTGATACAATATTTAGATAGAGAAATTGTACCTCTTCTCTAACACAAAAAAAAAACCAACACCAACATTACCAAGCATAACCTACAATAATCGCGTACACTGGTTCTATTTAGTACAGCCCATCATTAATAAGATTCGTTTTAAAAGAGACATATGTAAAATTCGATTATATCTTAGAAAGGATGTAAACATCTCTGCGTATTTGTAATCGTTGTGGGCGAAATATTGTTATTCTGTCATTATTTAAATAAACTCTTTAACGGCAGAACTACCCCCACAACCCACCACTGATGCACCATCGACTACAACCACGACCGACGCGACAACTGTTGCTGCGGCTCACCCAACAACTGCTGCTGCTGCTCCACCAACAACTGCTGCTGCTGCTCCACCAACAACTGCTGCTGCGGTTCCACCAACAACTGCTGCTGCGGCCCCAGCAACAACAAGGCCTCAAGGCGGAAGTAAGTTAATGCAATTTGTTTTTACAATCACATTTTTGCAAAACGTTTCAAAAGTCGTACATACAAAAAGTAAAAACAAATATGCTGTAATATTAACATAAATTACGTTTTAATCTATTTTAGAGAAGAATTGCAAGAAACGACAGTGATTGAGTTCTTACGCCGACTGTAAGTTTGCCACAAACGATATCAGATTTACAGATTAGTTGATTTTAAATTTGACAAACAGTTTAGAATATCTATTTGCTAAGAACACCAACCTCGTCTTTTAACAGTCTTTTTCAATAAAAATTAAATAAATTATAGCCTTTTATATGAAATAAAATAGATAAGTTTTTTGTATTGTTTAGTTTTGTATTTAATAAATCAGGCCTATATTTCCTGCTTAATTAGGCATAATTCTACAACCGAACCAATTATTTAATTGTCATATACATCGGCCCTAGATTTTGCATGAATTCACGATCCGACAGAGATTTGATGCCTTTGCAAATATTCTCGGCGCGCGCAAAAAGAGATGTATTCATCTTATTTGAATGTTGTACTATAATGTCGTATTATATTGGTAAAATAAAACAAAAGAATGATTGTTGTGTTCTCTTTAATTAAATGTTTTAATTTCTTTTTTTACAGCTTCCTTAATTGGAGAGCTGATCTCATTGGTCAAGCCACCGAGGAAGTGTGTCGGCTTCAAGTTTACTGCAGTTTTTAGTCCCGCTCTGCATTATTAAAAAAAAGAAAAACTTCATAAATTCGATTTAGCTCATTTGTTTTTAATTAGGTATCTTTATTTTAAATAATTTAATTGTTGATAGAGTTTCAATTTCAGATATTTGATATCAACCATTTATTTAAAAGTCCCAGCAGTTAATTTGGATTTAAAATACATTTCTGAATCAATAAAATTTTGTTCAATACATTTTTCTTCAAATAGGTTTATTTTAATAAGATTATATTATCTATAGAAATGTATTGACTGTTTTATATATATATATATATATATATATATATATATATATATATATATATATATATATATATATATATATATATATATATATATATATATATATATATATATATTATACACGAATATATGTATCTTTGTTAGTTTGTTTATCTGTTTGTTCGTCTTCACGCATTTCTAGACCGTTCTAAATTAAACTTTTTGGAAATTGTTGTGTAGGCCTACACTCCAGAAATTATCTGCTATAGAAAAATGTCAATGTCGTAGGGGCTGCGCACCAGCGGTAATGTGCTAATAGCACCCCGAGTTCCCTATCGGCTAGCTTAGCATACGGGGATAGTACTTGAATCAGTAGTCAATCTACACTGGAGCAACTGGTCGGTAGTGAGGACAAATCCGAACCCGGACAACCAAGATATAAGAGGTGTAGTGCAAACTTTGTTCTAGAAAACATGGTCGCAAGTCTAAAAATACACTTTTGGTTATGCGTTGATAAAAACAAATTTCTTCAGATTATGTCGTAGGATTAGATTTGGAGAGGCAGTGATTCCAACATGGATCAATATGTTTGACCTGCTCATGTGTTGGGAAAAAAACAACTTCTAAAAAACCGTTGATCATAAGAAAAAAAAATACAAAAAAAATTGTATAGACGATCTTGATGATAAATAAATACAATAAGAAGGAAACTGATAAGTTTTCCGTATTAAAATAAATAATAAATTTAAATTAAAAAATACACGTACATTGTTACATTGTGTGCTATCATAAAGTGTGTCATTTAATTTCTTTCCGTTAGAGATCGAAGCAATGCGTGAAAGTTACGCTTCATTACCAAAATTGCCTCTTGTTCACCCGAACCTTCCTGCCTCCCTCCTCCTCCTCCTCCTCCACATATGACTTGTGCAAGTAAACTTTTTTAACACTGCGGTCCATGGGGTTTACTTTAAGTAGAGTTCATCTGTTTCTTTGACCTCAGTATATGAAGGGAGAGTGTGTAGGGGGGGATTAAGCTTGAGCGGGGCCCCGACTGTAATATTATGGGGGCCATATATATATATATATATATATATATATATATATATATATATATATATATATATATATATATATATATATATATATATGTGTGTGTGTGTGTGTGTGTGTATGTATATACATATACATATACATTTATTTATATGTAAATATATAATTATATATTTAAACATATATCACCTTGATTACTTGACGTGTGTATATGTATATACATATACATATACATTTATTTATATGTAAATATATAATTATATATTTAAACATATATCACCTTGATTACTTAACGTGTTTTCCTGTCCCCACGATCGTGAATGTTTTCCGACTACGCCTCAAGCGACTGTGTTTTAGGACGCCGGCCCTGAGACCACGACTGCGGAGAAAGCTTGTCTTCCACTCCCGTCTAGTGGCCATGACCTTGCTCTTCGCGTTCTTTGTGGCCTTAGTGACCCCGGCCAGAAATGTGGTGGGGTACTTCATCCTGCCCGCCTCCTGGTCCCAGCTCAGCTCCGGGCAGATCCTGCACATGTTTTACCTGGAGGAACAAAATACAAAATACAATACTGCTTACAGCTTAACTAGGCTGTGGCAAATTAAAATTTTATGTTCCTTTTAAAGTTTGCCGTCTATCGAAGTGGAATCGAAATATTTGAATTGAGATGATTTCTATTTAAAAACTTACGTCAAACAAATGATTGCTTGTGCATAGCATGTGTGAGGGGAGATAACAGCATTTTTCAATTGTCAAATGATGTAGACTTGCTGACGATTTTATCTAGTCTTAGGCGGGGATATTTCTTGTCTGTGATTTCCAACAAGCTACTAAGACTTATATTCTAGAGTCAGAACTGACGCCAGGTGTGACTCTGGGAAGGACTCTGTTACATGATATAAAATTAACACGATGACATATTGTGAAAAATCTTATATAGAAACTCAGGTCACGTTTAAGTTGTTATTTTTATAAACATTAAATTATCTTTATAAAACGGCGTTATAGTATTCATATATCTACATCTCTTATTCATTAAATTGATGCCTTTTTAAAATTGCTATTTTTTGCTAAAAATTGCTAATTTTAAAAAAATCTTTACAAAAAAAGGCTTTAAAGTATGTTTTGCAAATACGTTTAGCGACCATTATATTTTTTACAATACATTTTTAAAAAAAAACACGATTCACAATATTTCCCTTTGACAGCCAGCGTACTGCAGTGTAGAAAAGCAAAACCTCGTCTTGGCACAGTTCATTAAACAGACAAATGTGTAGTGCCCCAGATTTAATATAATTTACGACTTTTAGTAACAATGGAGTCGAAAGACTCTTTTTAGCGAGGACATATCGGTAGATTCACCTTGATTAGGTAACTAAATCTTTTATTGTTTTCTTAAAGCCCGATTTAGACACACAAGTAGGTGGCGCACCATCAGCAGTTCAAACCCCGCAGCCGTTTTCCCATTTTAATCATCCAGTTTAAAAACCTTTTTATTTTCTCTAAATATCTTCACAAACTAGCAACCCTTCTTAGCTACCATATGCATGAATATATTTCACAAATACAAGCAACTGTGAACACGAACTAATGTCTGTTGATTCATCAACTTGAAAAGCAAACAATGGTGAAAGATTAATTTCATTCAAAATTTGTTCTCAAACATCTACGGACATGTCTGCTATAAGCCGCTAAATAGTATTATTAGAACGAGCTATTTGTTGCATCTTTACAGTACTGGAGTCCACAAGAATGATTATAAATTTTACGATCTTCAACATGCAGAGGTTGATGAGATTTGCTCCTATTGTGTTGATTTTGCTTGGCGATTTCTAATACGACTTCATTTGATGCTTGCACTAATGCTCTGTTTCCTTGAAGAAAACTTGGAGTTGGATTAAGTCTCTGACGTTTGCAACTAGCAACTGCAAAAGAACTCCATATCTTTTGGTGTGTTCCGAATGAGTCGTCTCAAAATGACGTTTAAGTTTTGAAGGTTCCATAGACTCGTGGCTGAGAACAAACTTAGCGCAGTACGAATTGTTTTTCTCTATTTTATTTCCTTTGATGTTATTAAAGCCGAATTCAGATATTCGTCTAAATGTTTGGCTTTTTTTAATTGCTAGGGTTTATTCTACCAGTTCGAGACCCCCCGGAAAGCCCTTTGCCACCCCCTGGGGGTCGCGATCCACAGTTTGGGAACCCATTTGATAGCACGATGTCTTTGTTTGTCTCCATTACCACGTGCAAACCAAATTGTTTTCGCCTTGGTTAAAACTGTGTTTAATTACCAAAAATACTAAAACACCAAATTCATCTACTCTTTAGTAAAGTCCAAAAAAAAACAAATCAGATTTTTATTACCAAATTGATTGCAAAAACATCGCACCAGATTTTCAAAATATTTGAAACCCCATTAATAGACTTTTCACGACTCCTTCCAATTTTCTGTATGAAGAGCGTTGCATTACAGGCCCTACTGTACCGTAGGCCCAGTGACATAGCCAGGAATTGTTCATGGGAGGGGTTCAAATATTTTTCCATATGTATAAAATCATATATATAAAATAGAAACTCCACAGAGTTAAATATTTGTAGTTGATCTGGGTGAGTTATGGTCTAGGGTCCTCGAATTTTTAGAGCCCACAAAATTGTTATTCAGCTCTAAATCATATTAGGGAAAGTAAATGCAACTGGGCAAAGTGCTGATCAGCTTTCATTCAAATGCCGAGAAACATTTGAACTCCACTTCGCCTCACAAATCGCTAGGTCTGTAGAGGATACTTTATTTTGTACTAATTCTTATAACTATGTATAAATTATATGGTAAGAATAATCTAAAAGTAATGAAAGAGCAAGTAAAAATAGTGTTTTTCAGCATAGGCGGTTAACTAGAGATATTGTATCTAGAGTTCTCTTGTCGCCCTTCAAGTTGGACTTGTATTGTTTCTTTTAAAGCTTTTGTTTAAAGAATGCCTGCACTCTCTGTGGATATCTTGGTAATCCTTTAAAGGCTTAGAAAATAAACACAAAGACATTCCCGAGTACTAAAAAACGCAAAAAAAATTTTTTGTTTTTTTTTTTAATTTCATAAACAAATACAATATGTAATTCAAAACATGTTACGAATTAAACGCATAGCCCTTAAATATTAATGTTTCTGATTTAATGGCCGAAGATTTTATTTTTAAAGAAAAAAACAGCCATAAATATCAATGAATCTTTGGAAATATAAATGTATTTTTTTTAATTAATGGACCTTCAAATTATAAGACGTGTCAGAGTTTTAAGTGTTTGCTGGTTCTGATTTTAATTGTTCAAGTATGTCATTGTAAAAATTTAGTGTGCAGAATTTATATTTTTAATTTGAAATTAAAAATAATATTGTATAGGTTAGAAACAGCAAAAGTTGGTATTAATTTGACAAAAGAAAATGTTTCAGAAAGGAACACATTAATAAAGAGAAATGTCTGGCATTCAAAATATCTTGACCAAGATCGACACCGTGACCAAGGCGAACAGAATCCAAGCTGATGGCAGTGTGCTGATACTTGTGGCGCCATTTTTGTGCTCTGGAAAAAAATTTGAAATAAACCATGTAAAAATGAAGCAGCACTCTTATTAAAATGTACTTTATTATTTAATATCAATATCAATATTAGACGGCGTGGCTTAGCGGTCGAGTGCTAGACTGCTAGAAAGTCTCGAGTTCGAGACCTGGTCAAAAAAGTGTCCTATCCAGCTCTGATGGGTCCCTAATTCTAGAGGCTTCGCTAGGCGGGGTGGGGGTGTGGACCGCATTGGATGACACCGTGTAGTGGGGTGAAACCAAGGCAAAAAAAATTGCAAAAATAAATAGAAGAAATATGTTTTTGTCAATGTAATGAATGATTAATCAAAGTTAAAAAGTATGTGATACAAAATATAATAATTTTCTATGACAACGTTGTTTTTTCCTATTGAAATATAGTTGGATAAAAATCTTGTGTGCACAAATTTACTCCATTTGGCAAAATGGCAGGGGCATGATGTGATGCCTCTACAACTATATATATATATATATATATATATATATATATATATATATATATATATATATATATATATATATATATATAAAGGTATTTTTTTCATTAGTTTTAAGGGGGAGGGTAACACCATGATATGCCGTTCGGGGTGGCACCCGACCTAGCGACGCCACAGCCTAAATCGTGTTAGGGAAAATAAGGTGTGTTGAGGTCACAGAAATGTATGAAATCCACTTCACTTGCTCCATGGTCCGACATTTTAGGTAATGTATATTTCTTTGATAATTTTTATTTACATTCATACTACTGTTATTATACTTGTAAAATATAATTAAAGTTATCTAAAAGTAGAATAGAATAGATAAACAGGTGTCCACTTAATTACTTTCGAAAGGGAAAAATTAAACTTCCTGTTTGAAGACTCTCGCATCGTTAAAGCTAGGTTGATGAAATTGCATATATAAGTATTATATTATAGTCGTAGATCCGTATCAACTTTTGAGCGATTTCTATACTTTCAATTTTTTAAAAGCCTATAACTTAAGTACTATTTCAGATAGATAAATGAAATTTCACATGTAAGTAAAAGATATAATTTTCTGCCTTCTGTCAAATTTTGAGTAATTTTCGGTAGTTTTCGCTATTTCCGATTTCTCAAAAACGCATGTAAATGTATAAAATACTAATAGTATTCCGCATTATAATATATATTTTGTTTTGCGTTCACTTGGTGTGCAATTCTTTTTTTTCCAACGAGAGTCTATTCGATTTTAAAAAGTTTAGGTAATTAAAAATAGATTTAAAATCATGCCTATATCCCGAGTTGCCACCCCCCTGTTGTTTTATATAAGAATATTCGAGAAAGTTTAAGTGAGATCACTCCCGGTTTATTTATTATGAAAATATCCCACAATATATGTGAATTGGTTTCTGTTACTGAGTTTCGATAATTGATCCAGTATTGATAATTTAATAATGACCAAAATGGACATGTAAAGTTTTCCCTCGCTTACATACAGTGTTTCTTTCAACCTTTCTTCTCGGGGAGGGGGGGGGGTGGACTAATTTTTCCCGGGGAGGGAGACACTGGTAAATTGTATATTTTCTATATAGATTTCATTTCATTCGGGGGACGGTAGATTTTCTTCGGGTGCCTCAGCCGTCCCCCTTCCGATCTAGCCAGACTGGCGATAGACAGAGGAAGCAAGTTAAATAAAAGCTTGTAAAAAGGACAATAAGATAAAAGTACGGTATACTTACTGTGGATGAGGTCGGCTGCAGTAAATGCTGGAAAAAAAATTAAATAATGCATTTCATTATGGTTGATATACATGAATATAGTAATATACCTACTTTAACTCTTCACGAGGAATGACTTTACCGAGAATAAAAATGTCTGTCAGTTTTATATGAAAATACTAACGAAATATGTACTTTACACCGTTATTTATTTAACTGGTGAATTATTTTCCTTCAGATTTAGTATAGGCTTCATGTCCTGGATGTTTTAGTACAGTGGGCTTACGGTCTTGTAGGTTTATTCCAGTGGGATTACAGTCATGTAGGATTTAATTCCGGTGGCTTATGTCTTAGGCTTCGATACAGTGTACTTGTGCCTCTTAGGTTTTAGTCCCGGGGCCTATGTCCTTGAAAGTTTGAGTACAGTGGATATATTGAAGGTTTAGCCCACAGTTTGTGTTTTTCAGTTAAGTGGGCATTCAGCTAGTTAGATTGAAACAAATGAAGAAAATATAACTCACGGCACTTCAGTTCATACTGACGCATCTGTGAATTCATCTGCTCCATTAATTGTGTCTCCATTTCTGCTGTGAAGCCGCAATTTTGTTGAAATACACAACCGACTAAAGCTTGGATGTCACTTTAGATTAGATTATATATGCGTATATATATATATATATATATATATATATATATATATATATATATATATATATATATATATATATTGTTGTATATATGTATGTCAGCGGTACTTTGGTCATTGCCCTTGTGCTGACTAGGCACAGCCACAGCAGTAGACGAAGACGTAAGCTTAAACATAGTCATAATTCAATGTTATTATATACCAATTTTATGTTAAACCTATTTCGATGTTTAATACACTAACTTGCACATGAGGTTTGGATTGGAGGCGTGCGTCACACCATCTTGCAGGAATGTGATGTAGCATGTGTTATTTTAGAAGCGCAGTCTATTTCAGCAACAAAAGATTTATATTAAGAAATTATACAGGTATATATATATTTATATATATATATATATATATATATATATATATATATATATATATATATATATATATATATATATTTATATATATATATATATATATATATATATATATATATATATATATATATATATATATATATAGGCTATATATATACATATCTATATATATATATATAGAGAGAGAGAGAGAGAGAGTTGTATATGTGTATTCAAATATAGTTGTGTAGTGTATCTATGATTCCACCCAGGTAAATCTGAAAATGTACGAGAGTTTGGGATTAGTTCAAGGCAGACTGTCTATCACACGTCGAGGTCAAGAAACATACGAATTCTACGTCATCTAGAGAACGGTGTGAACGAATGCTAGAACTTTCGACTACTAACCCAAAATTCTTAGTTCAAATTCCGGACGTTGGCCGAGCTAAGATGGCTTGGATTGTGTTAATCCCATTTATTCTTAGGTCATCGAAACTTCAAATATTTAGAAATATATTTATATAAAATAGAATATATATATATATATATATATATATATATATATATATATATATATATATATATATATATGTATGTGTGTGTGTGTGTGTGTGTGTGTGTGCCCTTCAGAAGCTGAGAGGTAAAATTATCCTAGTTTTGGATTATATTAGTCTATCTTGACGGCCGAGACTATGTTACATCATACAACAGTAACACAATTAAAGACTTCATAACCTAGGGCCGATTTAACACCAGTATGCAACTGTGGAAGTGTCATAAAACTTCTGAAAAGTTCATGGCTAGATTGCGCATGCTCGCTAATGTGAGCTGGCGAATGGATGATTTATTTTGTATTATATTTTTGTGTGCGAATCTGTGCATGATTGGTCAACTGGACAGCGGCTACGGGGTGTCCCGTTCCGCCCGAGGCGAGCATATAAACTGACCGCTTGGATTTTTCTTTCTTTTGACCAGAGTAGAATGTAGATCTAGTTCTGCTCAGTTCCTCGCTGGGCGCTTGGCAAACCTCGTGCGTGGAGCGAGGTTGCTTTTGTAACTTGGCTGGGTGTTTTGTATGTATTGTTTTGTTCGATGTTTTGTTTGTATGACATGTGTGTTTGGTGTGGATATTAGATAGCGTTCCGGTTGCCGTAGGGGATGGGAAGGTTGTCTGTGTGGTCAGAGCCTAGACTATCCGAGGCATCGAATGTACATATTATTCAATCGAATGTTGTGTGTTTTGTTTGTTTACTGTTTGACTAGGATGTTTTGGATTTGAAATAATGTTTACGTTTTTTATTGTTGGTTCCAATTTTATATGTAAATAAAACTATAAGCTTATTTATTTGTTTGTGTTTTTTTATCTAGACAAAGGTTAGGGTTTAACCATCGTGGGTTTTACCACGGTTGCACTGACCGGACAGTTTATTTAGATAAGCCCAGGGAAGGTAAATAGTATAGTTATTCCCCCCCCCCCCCCACTAGCAGGGCTTACACTAGGTATTCAGCCAGGCAACCAATCGTACAGCCTGAGCTAACGATCGTGATCCAATGAAAATCAAACAACGCTCCAAGCCTTTATCGAGTTATTTTTATTAATTGAAATGTAGTTGATCATGGATAGAAAGGATGCAATTTAGGTCAAGGTAATAAGGTAGGAAGGTGAGGGGTCTGTTGACAGACATTGAACTCCAGAGAAAGACAAATCAATCTGAAAAATATATAGGCATCCTCTCTTTCACACACACAATACATGGACTCACTAGACTTATACATGATTCTTAAAACACTATATACAAATTTACATGTTTTTTAAAATAAAGATGAAAAAGCTATTTTAATTTAGAAGTTATTTCACAAACAAATCACATACATTATTATAGTTTTAGGGGGTGGGGCTGTCTTAGAAATAGCTTGCAGTTTTATGTAATTTAGGGTAACTTAAATAACGTATGTGATAAATATTGCATGCATCCTTTCAGTGTAATCTAAAATCAACATGAAGCGGAAACATGTTTTATCGATTATAATGTTTTATGTGGGGGGGGGGGGGGGGGGGCGGATAATATGGTAGTTAGATTATTTCTGGTTAATTTTTAGTAGTTGTTTTTATTACATAATACGACCGCCAACAATGGTACAGTAGGGGAAACAGAAAAAAATAACAGTCACGAAACTAAAACTTGTCCCTGCAATCGGTCACATAACACTTAAGCCTTGCCCACTATAACTGATGCTAATAGGGCTTGTAAGTAGGGCACAGACTTCTCTTTGTCGTACTTGCCAGCTAGTATTTTGAAACTAGATATCCATATTATAATAAAAAGGTAAAAAAAATAATACAAAAATACTAGTTTTACAATATGTGGGCTAACATAAAGGCTAAGTTTAATTCTGTTTTTTTTTTAGTTTGTAATTTTTATATCAAATCCCTATCAATTTGTCCTTAATGAATAATTACAATATGAATACATTTTAAGCCTAAGTTAATTAATTTGATTCTATTATTAATTTTTTTTATAAATTTTGGTTATACTTGGTATGTTTTTTTTTAAATTTTTTAAGAAATGTTAGGCTTGTGTTTTAGAACATTTATAGATTGGTAATATAATTGTGATGACGCAAGGTTGCGTCGGAGAGCTCAGGTAGATAGCGGAAACAGGCTATAGCGAGTTGGTCAGAGAGAGACCAATAAAAATAAGGGAACTGACCGGTCACGTGGGACGGTCAGCTGACCACTGAAGCGTGGGCTGCTCTTAAGCCGGCAGTTGATAGGTAGCTAGCGAAGAGTAGAGAAGGTGTTAGGTTGTAGAATGGAGCAGACGTAGTTATGTAGAGAACAGTTAGATAGTGTTAGGATTGGTCATGGGAGTGCGTAGTTAGTAGTATAGTGAACAGTTAGTAGTAGAAGTAAACAGTAGAGAGTATAGAATAGGCTAGTTAGGTAAAAACTTGAATATATATCTTTGTTAATAAAGAACATTTCATAATTGAACTTGGACTTGTGTTGTTGGATTCGTTCCGCATCTTTAAAATCCCCACCCTCACAACTGGTGCAACAAGAAGAACCTCAAACAAAGATCCATTCGTACCATCACAATAATCAATAAGCTTCCTTTTGTGTAGGGTGACAATCAGACAACCAAACTAAGCACACCTTTTATGTTAAATTAAAAGACGACATCTGGGAAATTTAAACGCTTTGACCTCGCTTAACAGAAAATTGAATTGTAATGAGAACTGCACAGCTGTTTGAGATTTGACTTTAAATTGTTTTTAGGTCGATTAAAAAGCTAAAAACACTAAAATAAGGAATCCCTACAACACTATTTGCCGGAGAAACAATATTTGGTGCTCTTCTCTCTCTTGTTCTCTCTTTCTCTCTCTCTCTCTCTCTCCCTCTCTCTCTCTCTCTCTCTCTATATATATATATATATATATATATATATATATATATATATATATATATATTATATATATATCTTTCTCTCTCTCTCTCTCTCTCTCTCTCTCTCTCTCTCTATATATATATATATATATATATATATATATATATATATATATATTTATATTTATATTTATATATATATATATTTATATATATACATACACGCGTATTTGCGTTATTCTTTACTTTTGCTGTGGCAAGCCTTGATGGTCAAAAAGAAAATTTACAAGTTTTGCTTGATACTCAATACTTATTGTTTTGATATGGGCCTACATCATTTTAAGACAAAAAAATAACCCATATAGCAGGTCACAAAACATTTTTTGGAACGCTAATAGCAGAACGATTTAAAAAAAAAATACATCATCGTTTCAATGATAAAGTATTGTTTATCTTATTCTCTTGTTAAATTTGCAAATGTAAAGATAATATGGTCAGCCCTATGTTCACCTCTACTTTTCTCAAATGTTACTCATCAGAGCTCCGTAGACGGTAACTGAATTAAAAATAGACTGCTTTTCTTATTGGTAGACGCGCGCCCTACCTCTCGGCAAGTCAGTTCCAGTTGCAGGTTTTATATCATTTAGAAGGTGTATAACTCTCCCATGTCATTGAAACTATGTTGCGAATAGTAATTTTTTTATTTAATTAAATCAACTTGTTAAAAATGTATTATGTACCAAACTTCATGAGAACCAATTAGGTTAAGCGTACCTCCTGAAGTTAGCCCAATAGTTACCAGCAAGACAAAAGCTGTAAGACACAAGTGTTTCATGGCCGCCATTTTAATTTAAAGATCTGTATGTGAATATTGTAGGCCTATGATTTAAAGAGAACATATAAGCCTATGATTTAAAGAAAAAAGAAATCATAAAACACTTAATCTTTACATAACATCATCTGTTTGTAGTTGGTTGCTGTTATTTTAAAGAATTCTTCGTTCTTAATTCTAATGTTATAAGGGATTTCCTCTAACATAATAACGTGTCAACTTATTATGCGCCATATGGCGCCGTTGACTCCGATTTCAACCTGCTTTTCTTTTGTTTTATTTTTGGAGTTATCTCTCCTAGAAGAGTTGCTGTTCCCAGCTGTCAAGCCTCATTTGTCCGAAGGTTCGAACTTGAGACTTTTCGTTTAAGTAACAAAGTGCTTTACCGACTCGACCACGCCGACTCCTTCATTAATAAAAATAACTCTGCTTAGCTGATGTAATAATAATATAACTAACTTACACAATCTAAGCCTAAATATAGATAACACAAAATTGTATTTCCTAGGATTTGAAAAAAGATTTTTTATCATTTCAAATACTTAACGGAAATTGCATTCTTTTTTACAAAGTTTATAAACCTGTCTGATTATTATTACTTTAAGCAATAAGAGTTGATTTAAGTTTCATACCTCCAATAATCTACAGTTTTAATGCTTTAAACTTATGGCTGAAAAACAAAAAATACTCAACTGCTATTAAGTATTAAATATAAAAACACCTTACCACTTGAGCTTTGACAAGACAAATCACTGAGATGCAGTCAGTTACCTTATGAGTGAATAGACCTCTCTTTGCGCATGCTCACGTGACATTAATTGAAAATAAAACTGCGGCCTGCGCATGCGTCCGTAATAATAACAGGCTAACCCGCTCTAAGTCTTTGCCCCATTACAGGAGGAGGGGAGAGGGGGTTAGTAGAATCCCATAATGCTGCCCCCCCCCCCCCCCCTACAATAAAAATTAAACACGTAATATCACAAACACAATGACTCTTTAAAGCTGTATAACATTTGATAATATCCAAAATACTGGATAATGCAATTACAAATGGTGGAAACAAAGAACACAAGACGAAACCAGTGTGCTGAACTATCGAGAGCCACAGCCTATATGGTAGAAGATCTATCTTATCCAGTAATTACCAGTTGTTGTTTTTTGTCCAGTCTCTATTTAAGCAACGGAATAAAGGTGTCAATGTGTTTTTTTATCATTCTAATGTATAAGATTCATGTATCAGATTCAAATAATATATTTTAAAATAAAATGTATTTTGTAAAAAAAAAGAAAAAGTACATTAAGAATTAAAAAAAAAAATTATTAAAATTTAAATATAAAATTGTTTTTTTTTTTCGTTTTAAACAGCAGGATCAAATACAACAGCGATTTATTAACATGCCGACAAACTACACTAAAATATGTTACAACACTGCTTCAACATGTTTGTATAACTTATATTTTTGAATTAAGCTACATGAAAACATTCTATATAAATGTTGTATCTGCTGCGTGAAAGCGCTGATTAATTTTTATTGTGCCTTGTCCGTCTAAAAATAACGCATGCAAGGGACGTTACTTTAATACAACTGACAAAATTTAAATAGTTTGAAACTTTGCTCTCCCCTCGTGAATATTAAAGTGCAAAATCGAAAAGCGGAAGAGTGGTCATCCGTTAACCATTGCAAAAATATTGTATGTATTGATCTGTAATTTTTTTGATACAGAGAAAAAAAATGCCCAACGGATTCAGGGGATTTTCAACATAGCCATAACTTGTCTTTTATACATGTAAATTGAGATGGTCTAATTCAATTTTTAGACGGATTGAGAGTCGCTGTAAAAAATTCACGAGAAATCCATTTTTGTCGGTATAGATTGTGGGATTCTAGCTATTTGTGAACTTTGAAATACAATCTATAATCAAAACGAGGCTGTAACAGACTTGACTTTTGGTTTATCGTAGAGCTGAATAACAATTTTGTGGGCTCTAAAACTACATATCTTTAAATCTGTCACGGTGAATTTTTAATGAAACATCTAAAACAAAGCTTATATGTTGAGATATTCAGCTGACGATGTAAGTACTTTGAATAAACGTGGCATATTTTCTTATTTGACAGATAACTTTATTTACAAAAGACTAGATTACACGCAGTACATATGAATATGTCTATGATAAAAATAAATGCTTAATTAAATCCTTGATTACAAAACTACAATATTAATTTTAAAACATTGGAATAAATACTGGATGCATAGGAACACCATCATTCGTTCTTAGAGTCAACAAACGTAGCTTGCCACTATATTCATCTAGGTGACACCCCTAACACATTCTATCATCCACCATATAATATACCTTCGCATTCTCACACTACAGTCAGTAAGCGAAATCGACAAAAGCATGCAAAACCTAAGACTAATTGCTCACCCATTCAGATCTTATGGCCAGGTATTCCACTATAACGCAAACAATTCACTTCTAATACGATACACCAAAAGTCAAGTCTGTTACAGCCTCGTTTTGATTATAGATTTTATTTCAAAGTTAACAAAAAGCTAGCATCCCGCAATCTATAGCCTGCTTACTAAAATGGATTTTTCGTGAAATTTTTTATAGCGTCTCTCAATCGGTCTAATATTTTAAAATTTTGTACAAAGAATGAAATCCCCCGAATTCGTTGGGCATTTCTTTTTCTTTGTATCCAAAAAAATACAGATCAATACATAAATTATTTTTGCAATGGTGACCACTTTTCCGCTATTCGATTATGACCTTTAATATTTACGAGGGGAGAGCAAAGTTTCAAACTATTTAAACTTTGCCAGTTGTATTTAAAGGTAACGTCCCTTGCATTCGTTATTTTTAGACGGAAAAGGCACAATAAAAATTAATAAGTGCTTCCACTCGAGTTCGAACCCTCTGACAAATGAGGCTTGACAGCTGGGAACAGCAACTCTTCTAGGAGAGATAACTCCAAAAATAAAACAAAAGAAAAGCAGGTTGAAATCGGAGTTAACGGCGCCATATGGCGCATAATAAGTTGACACGTTATTGTGTTAGAGGAAATCCCTTACAACATTAGAATTAAGATCGAAGAAGAATTCTTAAAAAAAAAACAGCAACCATTTAGAAACAGATGATGTTTAGTAAAGATTATATGTGTTTTATGATTTCTTTTTCTTTAAATCATAGGTTTATATGTTTTCTTTAAATCATAGGCCTACAATATTCACATACAGATCTCTAAATTAAAATGGCGGCCATGAAACATTTGTGTCTTACCGCTTTTGTCTTGCTGGTGACGATTGCCCTAACTTCAGGAGGTACGCTTAACCTAATTTGTTCTCATGAAGTTTGGTACATAATACATATTTAAAAAGTTGATTTAATTAAATTAAAAAATACTATTCGCAACATAGTTTCAATGACAGGGGAGAGTTATACACCTTCTAAATGATATAAAACTTGCAACTGGAACTGACTTGTCGAGAGGTAGGGCGCGCGTCTAACAATATGAAAAGCAGTCTATTTTTTTAAATTCAGTTACCGTCCACGGAGCTCTGATGAGTAACAATTGAGAAAAGTAGAAGTGAACATAAGGCTGACCATATTATCTTTACATTTGCAAATTTAGAGAATACGATAAACAATACTTTATCATTGAATTGATGATGTATTTTTTTAAAACATCGATCTAATATTAATGTTCCAAAAAGTATTTTGTAACCTGCTATATGGGTTATTTTTTTGTCTCAAGAAATATGTAGGCCTATAGCAAAACAATTATATAAGTATTGAGTATCAAGCAAAACTTGTATATTTTCTTTTGGACCACCAAACCTTGACACAGCAAAAAGTAAAGACTAACGCAAAGACGTATATATATATATATATATATATATATATATATATATATATATATATATATATATATATATATATATATATATATATATATATATATATATATATATATATATATATATATATATATATATATATCCCTGTGTCAGTCATCGGTATAGCAACTTTGCCTTCGACAAAGTTGGAAAATATACAGTAGGTTACTATTGAAATTAGATTTGTTGCCCACCAGCCAAGTTTTACCACTGTAGTACAAACTAAATAGATATACAGTCGTCCCTCGGTTATCGCGGTAAATAAGGACCAGAATGGGCCGCGATATGTGAAAAACCGCGAAGTAGTGTTACCCTCTCATTTTAGCCCTTAAATGCTTGACTTTTTAAAAATGCTTGAAAGAAATATATTTATATTGTTTTATGGGTAGGGTAAGCCGGGGTAATTCCACACACGGGGTAATTCCACACACTATATACTGGATACTCTCTATTTTTAATGGGAGTAAAGTTTAATTAAAAGTTACTATTCCCTGTTTCTAAGAGGTAATTTCTTGTACTTTCTGATACTGTTAGAGAAGCGTTCACCTACAATAAGAGCAAGAATTTTAATTTTATCTGCATCTATCTTCAAACATCCTTAGGTAAGTACAACCCCTGCACTTTTTAAAAAATATTTTTTTGTGTCTTATTTTTAATTGTTGTCAATTATTTATTGATTTTATGAAAGCTTAATCATTTTTGTTAATAGTAACAGTTAATGATGCTATATTCAGCCTTTAATTTAGAACAGGAAAGCATATTTTTTTCAATAGTAGGTATGGGGCAATTCCACACACATGGTGTGGGGCAATTCCATACATTATAGTTTAGAATGTCCCATGTTGCTTTTTATACTCTTTAGAGGGTTTAGCTATTATTTTAAACCATTTAAACTGGTTGTGGCTAATTCTGTAATTCACAACTCATGATTTAATCTTAAAAAATACTTAAATAGTACTAGATCTAGTACTATTTATTTTTAAAAAGACTATGCTATTAAAGTTAAGTAAAATTGCCACAGACTTCTTTTATTTCTTTATCTATTATTATTTTTACTGTACCTATATTATTTATTATAATTTATGCAATATTTAGAGCTAAACATCCCCATACACACATTATTAATTAGACTTTCTAACATTTAACTTTGTATTTATTTCAGAATGGTCCACAATTATAAAGGAATAACTTCGGCCTATGACAGATGAGAGCAGAATTCAGGAGGAAGAAATTGAGGCTTTCCCTTCATCCAGTGGTGAATAGTGGTTGCACCCATTCAAAATTGTTTCCAAGGGGAAAAATTTTTTTTACACATTTTTAAATACATGCATTTTAAAATTTTCATAATGTGTGTGGAATTGCCCCACTTGCCATGTTTTTGGAATAAAAGTGAAATATTTAAAAATTGTATTTTATTTTGTGAATTATCTCTATATTTGTTTGCCATCATATAAGTAATGCATGTCTAGTTATACCCTCAATAATATATTGTGGTAGTGTTAATTTTAGATTTTTTACAAATTTTTTAGAAAAGTAGTGTATGGAATTACCCCGGGTTACCTATATGCAGAGTATAGTCAAGTAAAAAATAATTTTAGTTTCAACATGTTCTTTAATTAAAATCCTATATGTTGCATGTCTGCAACATCATTAAGTAAGGTGATAATATTAAAGACAGTTGTTGATCTTGTTACAACAAAGATATATGTTGCACTTGTGGCAAACTGTTTGAGCTTGATGTGAATTTGCACCAGTCATTGCACTATTCCACGACACTTAGTGTCAACACTGGTTCAGGAGATCCAGTGTCCACACTGGTCCAGGAGATCTAAGGTCCACACTGTCCAGGAGATCGAGGGTCCACACTGGTCCAGGATATGCAGGGTCCACACTGGTCCAGGATATGCAGGGTCCAC